ATCACTTCATTAGACATCGTGTAGATGAAGGACAACTCGTAGTGAAGAGGATATCATTAGAAGATAACCCAGCAGATCCGCTTACGAAGGGACTGAGTAGGGTTAAGCAGTTGCAGCATGCTAGGAGTATTGGGCTGAAGGATGATATTAGCATAGATTAGATAGTATTAGAAACGTGTAATAGATAAATGTAATTAACATTTGATGATTAAATAAATGAGTTTTATTTATGAGTAATGTTACTATCTTATGTTAATTGTTTAACTATTGTTTCACTTTGCATGTTTTGACTTCCAGAATAATTGAGTTTATTAGGAATAATCGAATTGTTCAAATTGTCCACAATCGTTCATATGTTGGAAGTAGATATGAATGAAGATTGTCATGAATTGGTGTGTAGATTGTCTAAATGGTGTTAGACATTGCAAAGGGTTGCTGCAACGTTCATGAGTGCTTATGAACTAGTTTTGAGCATTGGAACAAGCACGCACTTGCTGGAATCACCTTATGGAATATGATATAAAAGGATGATCACAAGACGATAATATCATATAGTCTTAAAACCTAGATATATGGTTTGTTATTTGTTAATTGATTGTACATTGATAATGCGAAAACGCATCAGTAACTCGGTGTTATAAAACGCATTGTTGTGTATAGTTGGTTAATGAATAAGTAAATGCATATAAGTCGAAGTTTATCTGTAACTTTTATCTAAGAAGATAAAAGCGATATCTCGGCTGCTCGATGATTTGATTTGACTTATGTGTCGGGCCCAGTCAGAACTGAATTGATGTGTTCGATTAAGTTCTATGTCAAATAAATCAGAGATCGAGAAACCTAAATGCTTGACTAACCATTCCATAGGATTGTCAGCATGATATCTAACAGAGGACTGTACGATCCCTTATCTAAAGGACAAGATTGATTAGATCAGAGTTTAACAGCGTCTTTTAGAGCTACGATTGCAAACCGAATTGTACTTGTGCATATAGTTACTAGACTTATCCAAGTGGGAGACTGTTGGAATAGTGTCTAAGGCTGCAACTATATTAAACAAGTATTTGACCCGGTTGTGCATGGTCCTTTTGTGTTGCCTTCACCATAGCAACTTGATAGGATGATTTATTAAGAGAGAGTAAATATTATTAATATATTATGAGAATAATAATATATTGATTTGATTAATATAAGTTATATAATTAATTGGAATTAATTTGGTGACTTAAAGAGATTAATTAAATAAGAGGGTATAAACTGTCAATTGTTTGATAGTTAATCTTTAGACTGTAAATCCATATAGATATACAAGGGACGGATTCTAGAAGCTAGGATAGCTTCAAAATCGTCCAAGGGGTTATCTATGGAATAGATTTGGATAGCCTTAAGAGAAGATTATCCATTTAGGGTTTAGGTTGTAACCCTTAAGGAGTCTACAAGTATAAATAGACCCCATGGCTAAGGGAAATCGTCACTTCACCTAAAGTAAGAGAACCCTGGCCGATTTCCTCCCTTCTCCTCTCTCCTAAATCATCTTCCTTGCTATTGGTGTTTGTAAGCCATTAGAGGAGTGACAATTGTGACTCTAGAAGCTCCAAGACAACAAGATCAACAAGGAATTCAAAGGTATGGTTCTAGATCTGTTTCAATGTTGTTATTTAACCTAATTAGTCATTAGAAGTCTTGGATTCAAAGCATGTTTATTAGAAAGCCTAGATCCAAGCATCAGGGTTTTGCATGCGCACATAGGAAAGTTCTTATGGCTAAAACCCATCAAGGGCGTCATCCGATTCAGGAAACGGGGCAAGTTGGGCCCCAAATACATTGGACCTTTCAGGGTTCTGGCTCGGGTGGGAAGGTGGCGTATAGGCTGGATCTGCTAGCCGAACTCAGTCAGATACACAACACTTTCCATGTGTCTCAGTTGCGAAAGTGTCTGGTGGACGACTCAGCGGTGGTACCCCTGGAGGAGATTCAGGTCGATGGCAGCCTGAATTACATTGAGCAACCAGTGGCAATCCTTGACCGGAAATCGAGGGATATGAGGAACAAGAGGGTGGAACTTGTGAAGGTGCAATGGCTGCACCGGAAGGGTTTAGAGTGGACTTGGGAGCCAGTGAAGGAAATGATGGAACATTACCCCGAGCTGTTTCAGGATCGAGCAACAGACTTCGAGGACGAAGTCTAAAATAAGCAGGGGAGATTTGTAGCACCTGGTTCCTGGTATGTATGATTTATCTGAGTATTTTACACTTTTAACCTTGGACTCAGTGAGTCGTAGGCTAGACTCGCTGAGTAGGGACGGGATTTTGAGCACGTTTAAGTTGGCAACTCGGTGAGTCCATATTCTGGACTCGGCGATTCCATCAGTCTGGAAGAAACCTTAATCTCAAGGGTCTGCACCCTATTTAAACCCCCCTTATGCGCCCCAAGTTAGCCTCCTTCACCCTCAGAGCATCATATACCGAACCCTAACCCCTTTCCTTGTGATTTGAAGTGTTCTTGTGCTTGTTCCTTGAAGATTGAAGAAGAGAAGGAAGGAAAGGCCAAAAGAGAAGGCGAAGAGCAAGAATCTAGGACCTAATTCAGAGTTTATTGAGGTACAATTTGGATCTATTCTGTTTTTATGCTCAAATCCCCATTAGAACACCATAAAGCTATCTTTGGACCATTTCCAAGCTTGTTAGTAGTATATGGATCATAATGGGTTGAATAGCTGCTAGATCTGGCTATGTTTGAGTTCCAGAAGCCTAGATCTAATACCTTTATGGGTCCATATTGCATGAAAGTCCTAGATCTACCCCTTTTAGTGTGTTTTGAGCCTTAGAATCCCCATTGATGATTATATACACCTAAAGTTGGAAACTTTACGTGTTAATCGAGCCCTAGGAACCCAGATCTATGAATGGAATGCACTGGATTCAAGCAGAATCGAGTGTAGAGAGACTGCATGTATGCGACTCAGCGAGTCTAGTTGCGAGTCCTCGATTTTTCCCTTTTTCGAGTATACCAGTAGAGCAGTGAGCCATAGGTGGACTCAGTGAGTCGGAAGCCTGACTCATTAATGGAGGGACTCGGCGAGTCAATGCCCCGAATCGGCGGGTCCAAGGCAATCTTCATAGAACTCGACGAGTTGTTCATCAACTCGGCGAGTCGAGGACAAAACGTGTTCATCGGATGAAGCTTAACTCGACGAGTTGTTCATACAACTCGGCGAGTCGGATGAAGGACCATTGAATATTCAGTTAGGATGAAGGACCATTTAGAAGATGATTGTATTTGTGATAATTATCTTGGTATGAATACGTGTTTGGTTATGAGATATATCTGTATGATATGTTACGTGTATGATAGGGATATTTTTCCCTTGACAGTGGTCTTTAGGACCGAAGGGTAGGTCAGTATTCGGATATGCCTGATTGTATGCTTATACCTTGTCGTTGTATGCTAGTAGTAGGGGGTGGAATAGACCCCAGTTACCGGTTGAAAGATACCGATGATGATTACCGGTTGAAAGATACTGATGATGAATACCGGTTGTAAGATACCGATGACGATTACCGGTTGAAAGATACCGATGATGATTACCGGTTGAAAGATACCGATGGTATTGTATGGTATGTGGTATGTTGGGGAACTCACTTAGCTTCGTACTTATAGTTTTAATTGTGGTTTCAGGTACCTCTTCGTCTAAGGGGAAAGAGCCGGCGGCGTAGCGGCGCATCACACACATGATTTCCGCACTGGATTTTCTGGGATCGTACTTTGATTTTCTTGTTTCCGATGATATCGTTTTGAGACATGACCTTATGTTTTATAATTAATGTAACTTTGACAATGTTTTGGTAATACGCTTTATTACATGTTAAATTCTAAAAATGAAATTTTTGGCCTCGAAATTTGGGATGTTATATATAGTCTACCGCCATACAATTTTCTCTTCTTATCTCTTTCTCTTATCTTCTCTCATATCTTCCCTTCTCTCTCTCTCTCTCTCTCTCTCTCTCTCTCTCTCTCTCTCTCTCTCTGATTTCGATATGTGATAGTTTTAATTGTTATTTTATTAGTTTTACGAGTTACGTATTTGGGTTTTTTTATTTTTTATTTTTTTAATTTTAATTTTTTTTATGGAAATGCATAAGCAAACATGGAAGATTATTTTTCTTATTTAATTGTTATTTATTAGTTAGAAATTGTCAATTGGTTAGTTTTAATTGCTAGTTTACATTTTATGTTGGTCTGGATTGTTAGTTTGATTGTTATTTGTTAATAACTTGATTGTTTAGCTACAAAATTTAAAGATTTTCGAAATAAACATACAACATTTCAGGATAATATTGTCGGGTAGACTCGGACATGGATAATGGTCGTTAACATGGGTCTTTTTCATTTTAAACTAGATGATGTGAGAGATGTTAAATACAAACAATGACTTCGACAATCTCTGTTATAATATAAATATCAAAGAACCATATATCACTAACTTGGTTGTCCTTGCTGACTGAGCTTATCACAAATTCATATTTTTATATTTTGTTTATCATTACATTTATTTAATAACAATTAAACATTTAAAGATTCATCTTCTTCTAATCATTAACACTTCATACGTGTTTTTGATTTTTATAAACTTTGTTTTAATATAAATATCAAAGAACCAAAACTAATCATTCAAACTTCATATATGTTTTTGATTTTTCTTTTTAAAACAGAAAAAATAATCCCTAAAAATTTGACCTTATTTTGTTGATTTCTATTACCATCATTTTGTATAAAATTATCAAAGCTTTAGGTGGGTATTATGAGATCCACACTTTCAACAGGTTACAATTACATTACCCGTCTATGGGCCAAAGCTAATACAACCATATATACTCAGTGAAGTGAATTTAGGATTCATGTATTTGCTTGATTATAAACTTCCATCGAATTCCCTTTATTAACTATTTGCCTGCTATATTATGTATGCAGGTGCTACCACAAGCTGACAATTGCCAGCAATGGAAGTTGGTAGTGAAATAGTGAGAGGAGTTGTAGAGGTCCTCATGGTTCCAGCTAAAAAACAACTGGATTACCTAATTTCATACAAAAAATATGTGGAGGATATGCACCACAAAATGATCGATTTGGATGGTGCAAGAGTCGGTGTGGAATCCCAGAAGAAGCAAAACAAAGAAAGACTTCTTGAGGTTCCTGCCCAAGTCGACCTTTAGTTGACAGAAGCAGAACAGATGAATAAAAGGTGACAAACTTTCCAAGTGAAGTCCTTGGTTGTCTTGATCTCAAGAGCAGGCACAAACTCAGAAGGAAAGCCTTCAAGATATTTAAGGAGATCGAGAGTGTTCTGGGAAGATGCCCTGAGATCCGAGGGACCGAACTGCAAATTCCTCTTGGGAGAATTGATTCCAACATGGCATCCACCTCTACACCATCAGGAGATCACAAGTCAAGAGTGAAGACTTATAATAAAGCATTGGAAGCACTCGGACCCGACCACAAACCTCATATGGTAGCCTTATGGGGGATGGGTGGAGTGGGGAAGACCACTATGATGAAGAAGCTGAGGTAGGCTGTGGTAGAAAAGAAATTGTTCAGTTATTTTGTTATGGCCGTTGTAGGGGAAAATCCGGACATTAATGCTATACAGGAATCTATAGCAAGTTACCTGGGTATACAGCTAAAGGACCAAGCTAAACAGGTAAGAGTCGACAAACTTCGTCAAGGGTTTGAGGCCAAATTAAAGGGAGGTGAGAATAAGTTCCTAATAATACTGGATGATGTTTGGAAGCCGGTTGATTTGGAAGATATTGGTTTAAGCCTTTTGCCAAATCATGGTGTCAACTTCAAGGTCTTATTGACATCACAAAACAAAGATGTTTGCACTGAGATGGGAGTTAAGGCTGATTCGGTTCTTAATGTGGGACTTTTAACAGAAGCAAATGTTGGTGATTTTAGTGTCACCATGTCATTTAGGTAACTGGAACTAACATGTGAGCTAAGGGGCTTCATAATTGGTACTCTAATATATGTATGGAGTAGTGCGGAGTGCACGCATGTATACGATCGAATTAGAAGCCAGTTCGACGACTAGTCGGGGGTTCGGGGGCAGCGCCCCTGGATCCGGGGTTTCCAAAGGGGCAACGCCCCTTTGGCGGGGTCTAGGGGCAGCGCCCCTAGCGGGGTCCAAGGGGCAGAGCCCCTGGCTGGAGTCCCGCTGAAACTCGCTAGTTTTGGTAACCCTAATCCGGATTAATATTACTTGCTTCCAATGCAACTAATGACCGCCCAACCCTAATGAAACCCTAATCTTGTTTAATATATAAACGACTCTTTTTATACAGAAGAACGTTAACGTTCTTTAGCTCTCGTTTTTCATCACACATTCACAGAACCCTTTAGCATATTGGCTTACGTTTTCTGTGCCTAGAAACGTAAGTGTCCACTTGGATTATCCTAGGCTGAATTTCTTGTAACCCAGACATAGGGTAAAACATATCAGTTCGGAAAGTGATATCACGATCCAAGTTGGTATCCAGATCTCTACCACAAACCCTAAATTTCCCTTGAGAAGAAGCACAAAGCTTTTTCCTCCAACTTTGGGAACCATATGATGATGTTGATCATGAGCTCCATAAGATCGGAGAAGAAATTGTAAAGAAGTGTTGTGGTTTACCCATTGCCATCAAAACCATGGCCTGCACTCTTAGAAGTAAAAACAAGGATACATGGAAGAGTGCACTTTCTTGTTTACAACACCATGACATTAGCACAGTTGTGCCTACTGTTTTTCAAACCAGCTATGACAATATCCAAGACGAGGTGACTGGAGATACTTTTTTGCTATGTGGTTTGTTTCTGGAGGACTTCGATATTCCTACTGAAGACTTACTGAAGTATGGATGGGGCTTAAAATTATTCAAGGGACTGGATTCTTGTAACGACATAAATTTTCGAAACAATTTTTCACATTTTAAAAACACACTTTCATTCATAATAGTTATAAAAATATCATTGTATCACATAACAACCCTTAACATTACATCCCAAGATCATAACATGTAAAACTCCTCGTGTGTGTACTGATCATGCCGACGCCTTCCCGCGGTCATCACCGGTACCTAAAACACATTACACAACACTGTAAGCATAAATGCTTAGTGAGTTCCCCAAAATACCACATACCTCACATACGCCTTTCCAGGCCATAACTCTATGGGATCTTCCGATCCGAGTGTCTCAGGGGACTTCCATCCCGAACTCCGGTAGACCTTCCGGTCCTACCCGTATCGACCTTCCGGTCCGTAACCTCTTGACCTTCCGGTCCATATCATCTTGACCTTCCGGTCCATACCATACATAACATACATAGCACATACATATCACATAACATATAACACATACATCTCATAGCATACAAGACCTTCCGGTCACTCATAGGTACCCTTCCAGGTACAGTATAGTGAGAAGACTCACCTTGGTATCTCGGATAGTCTCTTACTCGATCACACTGGTCTAGCCCCCGCCTAAACACATAACAATACTCTCAAATAAATAATGGCTCTCAAAGGCTAGATTAAATCCACTCTATAATTTCCACAGAAGGGTTAAAGACCATTTTACCCCTCCCTGACCCAAAAGTCCAAAGGTTGACCAAAACCCTAAAAGTCAACAGAAGGCAGTACGTGGCGCGTACCTTCTCTATACGCGGGGCGTATGCCAGCGAACCATAATCGGGGCTTCAACCCCTTACGCTGCGCGTACTAGGAGTTACGCCCAACTTAAGTCCCAATTAAGCCATTTCTTAGATTTTGGTCTTAAACGGTTAAGACACTCCTTCAACTTCCAGATCTTGCTCTCTTACAACCTCTTATTCCATAAAGTCGGAACCCTTAAGCCTTTGCATGGCTGTAAAGGTCCCTACACCCTCAAACCTTTTTCCTTTTTCCCTCCAAAGGTCTAGATCTCATGCATGGCTCCATCTTTACGTCCAAGTTTGCATTTTTATGAACATACAACACTTATAGACCAGAAATATGATAGATCTAGGCAAATGGAGACCATTTGCTCATAAGGTCTCCATCTTGGGACCAAAAACCCTAGAAATTGGTCCAAGAAGCACATAACACAAATAACAAGGCAAGGTTTGAGCTTTTTACCTTAGGAAGAACCTCCAACCTTTGAAAAGCTCAGATCTACTCTTTCCCACAAGCTTCTAGCCTCCAAAATGACCTCTTCTTTCCTTCCACCACCTTGAAATGACACTAGAAGCTTAGAACACCAACACACTTGCTAAAAACGAAAGGGGACTCTTTATTAGGGTTTTTCTCTCTGGAATGGAGGCTGAGGTCGCAGCCATAGCATTCCTTTTATAGTGCTTAAGCCCCAAATTAGGGTTTACATCTGGACACATTACACCCGACGTAACCTGGGTACGCCCAGCGTACCCAGGTGAGTCTGCGTCCAAAATAAGTGCGCGAGTACGCGCAGCTTGCTCACAAGCCTAACACATACTTAAAGGACTTAACTTGACAACTTGGGAAAAGGAGAAGGGTTAAATAGCTTTACCTGAATTTTGGGATGTTACAATTCTGTAAGAGAAGCAAGATACCAGCTGAACGTGTGCATTGAGCGACTCATGCATACCAATTTGTTGATTGAAAGTGATGTTGTTGGGTGCGTCAAGTTGCACGATCTGGTGCGTTCTTTTGTTTTGGATAAAATTGATACTTCGATTGTCAACTGATGGGATATGGTCCACTGGCGTGGCCTAGACTGCTCTAGCGCGCCAGCTTGGCCTGGCGCACTCCTGCCAGCCCTGCCTGGCCTTCCCTTGCCAGCCCTGCTGGGGACTCTCCTGCCGGCTTGGCCAGGCGCTCCCTTGCCTGGCACTCCCTTGCCATGGAGGAGGAACTTTCCCTAGACTCTCTCCCCCAAGTGGTCCAGCCACCACTAGACTTCCCCATGGCTCAGCCGCCACTATACTCCGGCCGGGTGGCTCAGCCACCACCCGCCGCCGCCATACACCACCACTAGCACCAAGATGGTTCTCTCTAGCTATGGAGGACCATATCAGATCTTTTAGCTGATCTAACTTGACCGTCGGAGCCCGCTCCCGGGGCACAGTCCCTGGGACGTCTCTAACGCGTCTCTATGATTGTGATGTCAGATCTCCGCCGCAGCAGAGGACCCGAAGAACCACCAGAGTCTGATGTTCCATCATCAACCATGGTAGTACTAAGCCAGGTTGGCCTGCAACTGCAATTGATATGAGAAACTCTTGTAAAAGAATCTCATTAACATGTAAGTGTATGATTGAGTTTCCTAGTGACCTCAAGTTTCCAAATGTCTCGATTTTGAAACTTATGCAAGGAGATAAGTAGCTGAGGTTCCCTCGAAAGTTTTATGAAGAAATGGGAAAGCTTCAGGTTATATCATATGATAATATGGAGTATCCTTTGCTTTCCTCGTCACTTGAATGCTGCACCAACCTTCGAGTGCTTTGTCTCCATGAATGCTCATTGGCGTTTGATTTCTCTTCTATTGGAAACCTGTTGAATCTGGAAGTGCTCAGCTTTGCTAGTTCTGGCATTCAATCTCTACCTTCCACAATCGGAAATTTGAAGAAGTGAAGGGTACTGGATGTGATAGGTTGTGATGGTCTTCATATAGATAATGGTGTCTTTAAAATTTTAATCGGACTTGAAGAGATTTACGCTTACCATTCTGATAGTTATCTAGGCACCGTTAGCTTTACAGGTGATGACTGCAAGGAAGTCGCAGAACGTTGGAAGAACCTTTCTATATTGGGATTTCAGTTCTTAGAAAACGGTGCTCAGTGGAAGAATCTATCATTTGAGAATCTTGAACAATTCGAGATCTCAGTGGGATGTTCTTTACACAGAGAATATTTCAAGTAGACCAAGCAATCATTTGAAAACACATTGAAGTTGGTAATCAAGAAAGATGAAGTATCAGGATCTAGAATTAACGAGTTGTTTGAGAAAACGGAGGTTCTTTGTTTAAATGTTGATGATATGAATGATCTTGAAGATGTTGGGGTGAAGTCCTCATTTCGTCCTCAATCCTTTTCGTTCTGCAATTTAAGCACACTTGTTGTTTCAAAGTGTATAGAGTTGAAATATCTTTTCACACTCAATGTTGCAAAAGTTCTGTCAAATCTTAAGCATCTTTAGGTTTTCCGTTGCCTTGTTATGAAAGAACTCATACATGTTGAGAGTGGTGAAGAAGAGAGAGTTACATTCCCTAAGTTGACGTCTCTATCTTTGTATTGGCTGCCAGAACTATTGGGTTTGTGCCGGAATGTGAACATAATTGTACTACCACAACTCGTGGAGATTCATTCCAAATATCACAAGCATTTATTCCAAGAATAAGTTGGAAACGTCTCGCTTGTTAAGGGAAGAGGTAAATATGTTTTTCGTTAAATACAATTTAAACAATCTTTTCGATTAGAAGTTTCAAAAAAGGTTGCATTCAAATATGTGACAACCTGAAATTTCCATTTGTACGAACCTCATCTATTCAATAGAAGCTAGTTCAGTTTCTGTGATTTTCAAGCTTTTCCGAACAAGTTTGTGTACATTAGGGTTTATGTTTTAGATGATATCAGGAGAGTGGATACTCCTGGTTTTGTGAAACTTGGGCATTTCAAGTTTCATAATGTTACAGTCCAACATCATGAATAAAAATATTTTCTGCCAAAATATTCCAGGACTATAAATAGTTTTCTGAATTAAATTAATTCATTATTCACAATTCCAAATAGAGAAAAGCCATATTCTCTCTGACGGATCTTCGGGTTCTCATCCCATATTGTGAGTCTACTTTACTAAATGTGTTTCAATACTTGTTAGATGCTTATTAACATCAATAACATGTTTAGATTACAAGATCCGGGAGTTTACCGCCCAAGAACGTTCTTGGGGAGTAAACTCCAAAATGGAACATAAAGGCTTCCTAGTCCCGATTCCTTGTTAGACAACTTGTTTAGGGGTTAGGGTATGATCTTTATAGGCCAAAAAGCATCCAAGAAACACAAGTCTTTGGAGTTTACGGCCAAGGAACTTCCTTGGGCCGTAAACCCCTTTTCAAAGGCTTAATGTGCCCTAAACCCCCCCCTAATGCTTAAGGACTTTACCCACTAGTACTTGTGCTTATTTAGAACTTCAAAAACCCATCAAAATCACAAGTTAGTAGGAGTTTACGGCCAAGAACTCCTCTTGGGCCGTAAACCCCTTTTACTAGGGTAAAATGCACTCCAAGCACACCTAAGGCCTTAAGACAATTTACCTTGAACCCTTGGGACTAGAATGGAGAGTAGAACACAAAATAATCACTCCTTGAAAGGAGTTTACGGCCAAGGAACATGTCTTGGGCCGTAAACTCCAAGTGAAGGCACCAAAGTGTGCCTCTTGTCCCCTTTAGCCTTAGATAAATTCATGGAAGCCATCCTTGATGTTTAAGTGCTTCAAAACAATTAAAATCCAAGAGTTTACGGCCGTAAACTCTAGGGTGAATGACTTTAGGCCGTAAACTCCCATATGGAGTGTTCTAGAGCCTTAAACTACTTCATGTGTTATTCCAATAAAGCTAGGAGTGTTCTAGGATCAAGATAGCACCACAAAACACCCAAAACTACCCTTTGAGGAGTTCACGGCCATAAACCTATGAGTTTACGGCCGTAAACTCCAAGGTGTGGGGTTTGTTGGGTGGTGAACTCCTATACAAGGCCCTTTGATGTTTCAAACCCTTTTGCCTTGTCCCGTAGCAACTTAGATGCAACCATTTGAACCCTAAACACTCATAAAAGTGTTTAAATGTTTTCTAAGTGTCTTAACTTATTTATTTAAGTTATTATATGTCTAATTAGTTATATATATGCTTATTATATGATAACTAGGCTCGTGCGTGTAAACAAGTCTCCGTTTGCCACCTAGCACGGTAGCCGACACTGCAATTCAAACGACTCACCACAAGTGAGTTCATACCCCCTTGAATCAACCTTTGAAATGATTTTAAGTGTTTTAAATACTTTATAGGGGGGGGGGGAATACAAGTCAAATACTTATAGTTATTGCTTCAATCACATGTGATTGCATTTAATCACATGTGATTAATAACTAGGAAAACAACGATTTTTACCACTGTTCAAACTGTTTTTCAAACTACTTCACTTTGAAATGTTTTACAAACTGTTTTACTATCCAAACTTACTTATAGACTGTGATTCAAACAAATGCTTCTTATACTTAAACTGTTTTATCAACTTATGCCTTCAAAATGTTTTATAGATCGACATCAAGTCGATCTTCTCTTGAAATTATATTTCTGCTCCAAATGTTTTATGAAAACTTATTTATGCTCTTATATATCCAATTGCATGCCCATATATATATAGATATATAAATAATGTTCAAAGGGCTTAGGAAGGCCATCCGCCCTATTTCCTTTTCCTCGATTTGGATGTGGTCTGGTGGGATTTCGGGTGACCATCCGAAGGTCGTTTCCATATTACTTATCTATCATATATACATGTATAGACATAAAAGTACTTCCATATTCATACTCATCAGTACATCATTAGCTGGTTACCATCGGGGTAACGCAGGATCATACATATACAGATATACTAGAAACAATACATATACAGATATACTAGAAACAATACATATACAAATATATTGGAAACAATACATATACAGATATACGAGAAACAATACATATACAGATATACGAGAAACAATACATATACAGATATACAAGAAACAATACATATACAGATATACGAGAAACAATACATATACAGATATACGAGAAACAATACGTATACATAAATACGTAATAATTGTGATCCACTGTGTCGGAGCATGCCTTAAGTGTCATGGCCCGAGTTGTAGCCAGAATTCTCTTGGAGGGAGAGCGTGAGTTTGCGTATAGATCTATACTGGATTGACTATCCTACACCTTGCTGCTAGCTACAGCCGGACCTGCAGGTCTGCGGGTGCCAAACGTCATTTCTTTATTTCGACCATTCATTATGTCGTTGTTACCAATCGATAGCATGGTGCAATTTATCACAATATACCTTAATATAAATCCGGTTTAAGGTAGTAGTATTTAGTACAACAGTAGTCTTATTATACAAAGCTACAGTACTACAATGATTCACCCATTACATATTTTAGTGATAACATCACTTAAACATTAATGTACAAACTATATTTTTAACAAATGATAGTTATACTTGGGTAATTACACACTTTACAACAGACAAGTTTACAAAACAGTCTAGCCTTGGTAGAAGGTTACTTTTATAGAAAATATAGGATTTTCTGAGAGATTCAAACTTTTACAAACACTTTCAAACATTTACTTACATTTTCACAAACTTATACATTGAGATAGGTTCAAACGTTTTTGACAAGAAACATTGACACTAAAATACTTATGAACTCACCAGCTTAATGTTGATAAACTCTTTCAAAATAACTTGTATTCTCAGGTCGTCAGTAGACAGGTACCGAGGCCAGCTTTTGAGAAGATGAAGTGCATTCAAGACTCATCTCATATTATTTTGTGTTTCATTATTTTTGGTGTCTATAACTGTACAGAACACACTTGTAATAAAATTATATATTTAATGCAATGGATGATGTTGTTTGCTTATTTACATTTACTGTGTTGTGATACTATACATGACGTCCTCCGCCCCAGAACGTTTCCGCCGTTCTTGGTTTTGGGGTGTGACAAAATCACATTGTGTTTTATGTTTAATAATCAGTGAGATATGTATACAAATTATTTGTGACTTGATTGTATGATGTATAAATTGTAAGGGGTTATTAATGAATAAAAAAAACTGCATTATTTTTCAGTTTTTGATTCCTAAGTTGGAGAAACTGTATATTATGGAAATGGAAAATTTGAATGAGATATGGCCTTGTGACTTCACAACGAGTGAGGAAGTTAAGTTGAGAGAGATTGAAGTGAGTAAGTGTGAGAATATTGCGAATATGTTTCCATGCAATCCCATGCCATTGCTGCAACATCTTGAGATACTTAAAGTCAGAGATTGTGGTTCCATTGAAGCGTTATTCAACACTGTATTTGACAAAGGCAACATTAGCTTGAGAAAGATTGAGGTGATCGGTTGTGGTAAACTTGTGAATTTGTTTCCTTGCAATCCAATGCCATTCTTGCATCATTTGGAAGAGCTCCAAGTGGATGAATGTGGTTCCATTGAAGAGTTGTTCAATATTCACTTGGATTGTGTTGCTGCAGATGAAAAAGGCAGCATCAGCTTGAAAAAGATTAAGGTGTTTAGATGTGATAAACTTGTGAATCTGCTTCTGTGCAATCCGATGCCATTGTTGCATCATCTTGAAGAGCTTGAAGTGGAAAAATGTGGTTCCATTGAAACATTATTAAACATTGATATCGATTGTGTTGGTGAGACTGGAGAAGGCAGAAGCAGTAGCTTGAGAAGAATTCAAGTTGAGAAATTAGGGAAGCTACAAGAGGTGTGGAGAATAAAAGATGCTAATCACTCTCATTTCCCTATCCGTGGCTTTCAAGCTGTTGAAAGCATAAGTATTAGTAGTTGTGAGAGATTCAGGAATGTATACTCACCAACCAGCACCAACTTTGATCTGGGGGCGCTTACCTACATGAGTATATCTGATTCGGTTGAAATTAGGCGAAAATATGGCTTGGTGGAAAGTAGCCTAGGGAAAGAGGTTTGTATTTAGCTAACTACCATTTCTTATCAAAATTAATACCAAGTCCATAGCTTCTTAGAAAAGTTTTTAGATCTTTTTCAAAAAAAGAAAAAAAAGCAGTCCGTGATTCTTTTGACCCTTGCATATCATAATTTTGTCACAATCAAATAACAAAAAGTTGACTTTTTAAGGACAAAAATCGAAATGTTCTTATTTTGTTGACTATTTCCATCATTTCCAAATATTCCTTGAAAGAATACTTAAATTCAAAATAATCCTTCTCCAACTAATATTTTTAAGAAAAAGAATTGAGAAAGGATGTGCGGTTACAAATCGATGAAATAATTCCACTTCAGCTTAACTATTAAAGATACTAATTACATTTCTTGTTGGGATATCTGTGTAGAATACTCTGTTCCCAACCTGTCTCATACATTTGTTTCATAATCTCCGTAAGCTTGAGTTGGACGGATCTGAAGGAGTGGAGGTGATATTTGAGATCTAGAGTACTCCAACAAGTCAGGATAATCAACAGCGAATACTTTCCTACCTTGAGTTATTGGATATAAGATATATGGAGAGGATGAGTCACATGTGGAAGTGCAAATGGAACAAGTTCTTAATTCTTCACAGAAAACCGTCAGAATCCCTATTCCACAACCTCACAACCATAAATTTGTATTACTGCAAAAACATTAAGTACTTGTTTTCACCTCTCATGGCAAAACTACTTTCCAACCTAAAAGAAGTAAATATAGTAACTTGTAATGGTATGCAAGAAGTTGTTTCAAACAGAGATGATGACGAAGAAGAAGAAAAAATGTAGCATCTGGTTCTTGGAACGTATTTCATTTATTTTTATCTAAGTATTTTGCATTTTTGGCCTTGGACTCGACGAGTTGAAGGACCAACTCGCCGAGTAGAAGCGGGATGGGACGCGGGATTTAAGCAATGGACTCGACGAGTAGACTCTGTCTGGACAAAAACCCTAATCTGAGGGTTTGCACCCTATTTAAGCAATGTTATGACGGCCACAACGTCCCTTATGCTCCCATAACACCTCTCATTGAAACCCTAGCCGTTATTGAAGCAATCTAAGCCTTGTTGGTGGATTTTGGTGCTTGTTGTCTTAAGAAGGAAGGAGAAAAGATTGAGGAAGCAAGTAAAGACCAAGGGAACCCGAGTTTGTGCACCTTCTACAGTTTATTTAAGGTAAAAAGCTGTAACCTTGCTCTTTCATTTGTTAGATCCCTTTTTGGGGAGATTTAGGGCTTTTATAAGCCATTTTTTATGGCCAACCATGATTGCAAACATGGTTGGGGGTTGGAGCTTCTAAATCGTGTCATTAAGGGAGTCACAAGGCAGTTGGGGGCTGCTTTTGCACCCATGAAAGGTCCCATGCATCATAAGAGCTTGTTTTATGTCTTTTTGAGCTCAAAGTCCCATGCAAGCACGTAAAGTTTGTAACTTTACGTGATAGATTGATTGTAGAAGATTGGATCTATCTTTTGATCAAAGGTTGTACATCAGAAAAAGAGGATTTAGAGTGTGGACATGACCGACTCGGCGAGTCCGTTCCTGGGACTCGACGATCCCAAGGCTTTGAGTACCATATCTGTTGAGGGTCAAAAGAACTCAGTTGAGTGTTAGAAGGGTTGTAACCGGATAGAAAGAGTTACCCAATGCATTGGACGTAATTTTAGACCTGGAGTTCATTGAACTCGACAAGTACTATAATGGACTCGGCAACTCCAAGGCAATCTCCTTAAGATTGAAGATGAACTCGACGAGTTGTTTATACAACTCGGCGAGTCGAGGACAAGACTTGTTCATCAGATGAATCTGGACTCGGCGAGTGTTCATACAACTCGGTGAGCTGGATGAGTTTCATATGATGTTCATGGGAGAGAGGAACTCGTCGAGTCGATGCCAAACTCGACAAGTCGAGTCATGGATAAGGACGAGTAAATGGTTAGGGACTCGACGAGTTGACGGTCCAACTCGACGAGTCGGGTCAACTTGAAGTTGACTTTGACTGGACTTGGACTAACCCTGTTTAGGGTTGCACATGCTGTGTGTTGACTTGAAGGTTGTCGTGTAGGGATCGAGGAGTCGAAGGGAGTCGACTTGTGCGCCGAGGATAATTCAAACACTGCACGACACTGAAGTGAGTTACCTTCCAGTATGGGTAGGTCTACGACCATAATGTCGACCCACCAAAAAGGGGTATTTAGAAGATGATTGTCTTTATGATAATTATCTTGATTTGGTTATGTGTTTTGATTATGAGGTTTAACTGTATGGCATGTTGTGTGTGTAGTAGGGATTAGTTTCCCTGACAGTGGTCCTTAGGACCTAGGTGTAGGTCAGTACCCGGATATGCCTGACTGTATGCTTATATCTGTTGTTGCATGCTAGTGGTTGGGGGTGAAATAGTCCCCAGTTACCGGTTGAAAGATACCGATGACAGTTACCGGTTGAAAGATACCGAGGATGATTACCGGTTGAAAGATACCAATGATGGTTACCGGTTGAAAGATACCGATGAAGGTTACCGGTTGAAAGATACCGACAATATTGTATGGTATGTGGTATGATGGGGGAACTACTAAGCTTTGTGCTTACAATTTTGGTTTTGGTTTTAGGTACCTCTTCATCGAAAGGGAAGGAGTCGGTGGTGTAGCAGCGCATCACACACACACACACATGGTTCTACATTGAGTTTATGGGACTATACTCTGATTTTCATTACTTTTGATGTTATGGTTTAAGACACAACATTATAATTTTGTAATGTGATGTTTTATTGACAATGTTTTTGGTAAAATGTTTACTAAATATATTAATTCAAAAATGAAATTTTTGGGCTTGAATTTTGGGATGTTACAAGTTGGTATTAGAGCCCTAGTTTGAGGGATTCGGACACACCCTCGGGGGTGTCTGGACTCAAACCGAGGGACTAAAAGATTTTTACAAGGAAAAGGGTTTTCTAAATATCTAAATTGTGAAATTCTAAGAAAGAAGAAGTGTGTGATGTGTGCGACCGGCCGGGCTCAAGTAAGTTTTCCCCACGATACCCATACTTGCTATGTTATGTTATATGGTTTTGATTCAGAGAACTGCATGCTAGAATAGGACTAAGGATCTAGGAGGATGCCTTATGTGCCTGATATATGATTCTGAAAATTACATGCTAGTTAGGGCTAAGGGTCTAGGAAGGATGTCGTATATGCCTGTTGTATGAACTGTATGCTCAGACTGTTTAGTCAGCAGTAGGATGGCCTCTGTAGGTTATGCCTGGTTTGGTTACTCAATGCATGAATGCTGCTTGCTTTGTGCTATGGGGGTTCTGGCCAACTTTAACTAACTAAGGAACGGATATGTAACAGTATCCGCAAGCTAGTTAGAGGGAGGTGGTGGGGACTCCTAGTGCAGCTGAATGCGGAGAGTAGGTCAGAGAGCGCCCTTGGAAAGCCTAGGAGGGGGCCATCGGAAAGGGTATTGGTAAAAGGGACTTGGTGAAGTCAAAGAAATCCTTGAGGAAAGTTCTGATAGATGTGGAAGGTAGTATGGGCCCGTACTACTGAAAGCATAGGATCCGTACTCGAATCAAGGAGGGCCTAGATGGAACCGAGAAACTTGGAAAGTGTGTGAGACCTCTAAAAAGTATAAGTGACCCTGACATTCGCATGTTTATTTTCAGAATGGTGGTCACGCGACATGGAGCAGGAGGCTCGGGATCTGGGTCAGGATCGGGCTCGGGCGCAGGATTCGAGCATGTGGATGATGGGTTACGCGAGTTCATCGCGTCCGAGATCACGAGAGGTATCCTTGATGCGACACCAGTTCTTTTCGGTTCGATCAAGGAGGGGATCCTTGAGCTGATGGAGGACCGCCTCAGGGCGTTCATGAGTGACATGGCGACCAGCCAATCAGGGCCACACACACTGTCCTTTAAGGACTTCAGAGGGAGTGATGCGCTGGATTTCTAATGGGTAAAGGACCCCATTGCTGCTAGGAGATGGATCGCAGACATCGAGTCTGCGCAGCTGACGAGCTTCTTCCCGGAAGGGTCAAAGGTTCGTTTCGCTGCAGGATGTTTGACGGTTTGAGCCAGAGATTGGTGACACGTTGGGAGCCCCAGCCACTGAGGCAGACTACGGAGACTGTGGCGGAGATGACCGCCAGGTTCCGGGAGAGGGCTTTGTTGGTGCCCCAGTATGCGGGTGATGAGGACATGAAGAGGAACCACTACCATGACATGCAACGAGCTGACATACGGGAGCATGTCAGTTTTTCAGCTTGCCCTACCCTGGATTACATGATTGCCAGGGTTAGGGAGAGGGAGATTGATCTGGAGCACATCCGGAAGAGGAAGGCAGAGGAGGGGCAGACGATGGGGGCTTCTGGGAAGAAGCCCATGGGATCCGATGGTAGGCCGAAAGGCCAGACAGGACGGGACCGCTGTGGGAAATGCGGCCGGTCACATGAGGGGGCTTGTCGCACTTGGCCAGGATCGGGTTGCTATAAGTGTGGCAAGGTTGGGCATTTTGGTAGAGATTGTACTGCCCCTACTCCTACGATTCAGACATCAGACCTGATTTGCTTTCATTACAATCAGAGGGGCCATAAAAAGCCAATTGCCCTAGATTGACAGCAGCAGCGGCGTTGGCAGTGGCGCCGACTCCAACGACAACACAGGTTGTGGATGGCCGGAAGGTCAAGTCGGAGGCTCTAGTGGTTCGGAGCCGAGCATTTCAGCTGACAGCCGAGGAGGCACGCGCTGCACCCGATGTGGTGACGGGTATGATTTCTTATTTATGCTTTTATGTTATGTCGTTGTGATTCTGATATATTATGTACCTTGCTTAGGATCATTCCATGTGAACGGTATCCCAGTTTAGGTGTTGTTTGATTCGGGTGCCACCCGATCATTTGTCTCTCTCTTGCGCTTAGGAAGAAGTTTCTTGAGTCTTCGAGCATGTTGGATTGCCCTCTAGAGGTCGAGATTGCGGACAACCGGTCGGTACGAGCGTCAGAAGTCTACCGAGATTGTGTTTTGAGGCTGTTCGAGGAACGTTACCTGGTGGACTTGGTTCCTATACCTTTGCGGGGGAACAAGGTTATTATCGGTATGGATTGGCTGAGCCCCAATAGGACAGTGATCGACTGCGCGCAACAATCAGTGCGGATTTGGACCCCTAGTGGGGGAGAACTGGTGGTTCAGGGCGAAAGGCCACAGCAAGGACCAGCCTTATGTTTGGCAGCGAGGGCTAGGCACTACCTCCAGCAGGGTTGCGCAGGTTATGTCGCTTATGTTATGGACACCCAGGATGCAGGAAGGGTGACGGTGGGTGATGTGCCCATAGTGCAAGAGTTTACAGACGTATTCCCCGAGGAGTTGCCTGGGATACCTCCGGAGAGGCAGGTGGAGTTCAGGATCGACCTAGTCCCTGGTGCGGCTCCGATAGCCAAGGCACCATACCGGTTGGCTCCTCCTAAGAT